GATATTCTTGGGACTGGCTTATTGATATTTGTTTCCCAGTATCTGGGACTAATTGATATGAAAGCATTTACAGATAAAATAAGAATTGATGGGAAGAAAATATAGATGTACCTGTAATGCAACAGTATGGATATCCACAAAAGAATAATTCACGAACCTAAATACAAGGAGGGAGAGAAGAAGGGAGGAAAGTTATTTTTTTGTTTCCCCTGAGCAAACATATAATTTCCATGATTTCTTTTTAATGACTGTGTTCTGCAGCCAGTAGGTACTGATTTATGAAAAGCTGTAAAAGATCAGGTGGAACTCTGCAGGACATCGTTTACAGCTGCACGGATTGAAACCTATCTAATTTGTCTAGTAAAAGTGTGAGCTCACGGTGCACATCACCCAGCCTATAAATTTCCCCTTCAGACCCAATGTCTGGGGCTGGGTCTAAAAAAACGCCAATGCCTGCAGCTGCTCAAAAAGCCCACATTCCCTTGGTGAGCATGAAGAGACATCACAGGCTCTTCACAGTGAGAGACAAATTCCTATCCATTGATAAACTCTCCAGATGTCCTCTCCGAGGAGGAAAGGAACCAATTTTATTTCAATTCCCCAGAGAAATCCTGGAAGTGGAAAAATGATACTTTGCAGGGCTGGTTAGTCTGAGGTCACTGGCATTAAAATTAGGTCATTCTCTGTCTTCCTTGCACTTTGATCCAAGTAATAAACAGAAAAGCTCGGTTGGGGTCACTCTAATCCCTAATCCTCACATCCTGTTCTATTTCAATCTGTTTATACTAATTTTCTCTAAACTCTTGTTGAGTCTGGCTATAGTGTTGAATTTTAAAATACAACCCATTTTGAATTGAGAAGAAAGAAAAACTACATTTTGCTATTAGGCATGCTTCATAAATATTCTGAATAAATGTCCTGGGGTTTGATTCTTTAGACCCACAAACCCATAAATAAAAAGTATTGCTATTCATGAGTCCAAGAGTCTACAACAGTTGACATTAGAGTCTATGTACAGCTACTGTGGAAATCCAAGCTGTGGGGTATGGTGTGTGTGGGGGGCATGTCTGTAGATATTTTAATATAATATTGTCTTCTTTCTAGGTCTCATATCATTTTTCTTATAAAATTTTCTCACATAAGATTTATTGTTATTTCTATCAATTTTGTTTACTGACTCAATGATTTTTCCAATGGATCCAATGTTATATTTAATTCTGGCTAGTGACAAAGGCTGGCCATGATGACCATGCCAAAACAACCCAAGAATATCATGCAAGTTTTGGAACCTGGGTTCCTCAAATTCTTAGAAAAAACAAAAACAAGAGATTTTCAGTTATTAAAATAAAGTTCTAAGGAACAAACAAAAACAAGATATTTTCAATTATTAAAATTAACTGGTTTATCTTTATCTGATGAGTAATTTAAAGAT